TGGGTTGGGGTCTGGCACACCAAGAGCCTATAAAATATCGTAAAATCTGATGACGTACTGTGACATGGCGACCTTGAACCGCCATTAAACAAGTTCTTTTACCAGCGCAACCTTGTGGTGAAGCTGTTGAGCCAACACGCTAAAGTAGGCAACCTCGAACAGACAATTTCAAGGCGGCTTTTGGAGACCCTCTCATACTCACACTTCCTAAGAAATCTCATGAAAACCATGTCCACTAACAGTATTGTGATTCATGCTTCGGCATCCGTGAGAAACGACGCGCAATGCAACCCTGGTCCAATGGTGTGGACGAACAGTATGCGAGCTGAGCTACTCAATCGAAATCAAAGCTTTGGTATTGGATGCTGGAATGTGCGAACATTCGTGACCCCTGGTGTCTAAAGCCTGACGATGCGCAGCCTATTTCAGTATAGCGTCGATGTTTGCTGCCCGTCCGAAGTTCGAGTTCCTGACACCAACAGCCAGCGACCCTCTGCATTGTTGAATTTGCCACTGCGTTCGATTCCATCTATCGTGAATCTCTATGGCGGATAATGACACTAGATGGTGTGCAACCGAAAATCATCGCTGTGATCAAGGCTTACTATAGCTCCGCCCCTGCGTGGGTTAGGGTTCATAACAAGCTTTCAGAACCCTTGGCTATTCAGTACGGTGTTCGACAAGGCCATATTCTTTCGCCCATTCTATTCATATATGCCACTGACTGGATTATAGGAAAAGCGCTACATGAAGAGGACCGTAGCGAGTTTGCACTCGGACGCCGGCTCACTCATTTCGACTAGGCTGATGATGTTGCCCTGCTAACCTCAAGCTTTGCTGATCTAACTTTTGTTGTATCACGGGTGAATGAAGTCACTAAGTCGGTCGATTTGTCCATAAACGCAGGGAAGACCGGTGTTTTCATGCTGAATCCCTGTCCAAGAGAAGGCATCTCTCGATATTATTGGCCATCAACTTAAAGAAGTAGATAGTTTTAAATACCTCGGAGCGCGGTTGCTGTCGATTGTGCAGGGTAAGGATGAAATTTTCTCGCGAATCGATGCAAACATTAGAAAGTGTCTACGGACCCAACGCTAAATTTCTATTGCCTTGAAGGTTCGCATCTAGCATGCATCTGCCTGACATGTCCTTCACTGCGGCTGTGAATTTTGGGCTAGGCTACTACTGCTTTAGGACCATCCTTCGAGTGAAGTACGCGTACCTCGTCTCAAATGAGACAGTCAGTCTCGGTGCAATAAAGTCGCAAGGTTAGGCCAGGCCATCTAATAAAGACGTCTGAGATGGTTTGCACACTTTTTTGTCGTCAAGCTCACGAGCTCAGTGTTACTGCCCACGATCCAATAACAATACTCAATTCGATATGTCAGAGAGGAAGTCAGCTGAAACCCGGCTCGATGCAGTCCTTGGGGACATGAAAGCGGTTCGTGGACTTTTGGTATTCGGGCTCCAGTGTAGGCAAAGAGAACGGATTGAACTGTCCAGGTCTGCTGCGACGGCTTGTCACATGTGGAGAAGTACCATCTGGGACAAATACCAGTCATGATCGCAACCGTAAAACGTACATGTACGTGCAGATGAATCCTTTAATTGGTTATATGTTTACGTCCAGCAGAATGAGCAATCTGCCTTCAAATAACGTTTTATATTAAGTGCTTATTCCAATTATGACTTTTATTTCTATTCAAGATCAGGTATCGAGTTCAAAAAGAAATAGTAGCGCCATGTTTGCTAGACTAAATCATGTTCTACACGTACAGCTGAGTATCCTTGGAAGTTTGGTCGCTGATTCCAACCAGATTCACCGTCTGCGTCACTCCAGGGTGAGCGCACGGGCAGTGACGGTGCGTGTGATTTAATTTACAAAGACCATAGACTTGTGCAACATCCAACACCGCACTGTTACGCTCGCTTCCAGATTCGGGACAAAGTCACGAAGACCAGAGGCAGGAAAGGGTGCAGGTAGCTGGCGCGGCGGAAAGCGAACCTAGGCGTGCCCACTATCCTTAACTACTGGTAGACGATGCATGAACTCGAGAACCATTGTCACCAGTGAAGCGAGGCAAACTCTTATATAAATAAAGGGCGCCCTCAGTATTGGTTAGCATGCTAGCATGAATCTTTAGGTGGCATAAACTAAAAAAACCATAGACCTTCTTCACGTCCAGCCACAAAGAAGACTAAATTGTGCAATAATGGTAGCCTGGGAACTCAATAGCAACCCACTACGAATCATCCGGTCTTAGACATTTTACCTCGTTGAAAACCCTTTCATTTTTCAGCTATTTTAGAAATCCACCTGGCGAAGAAAACACATAATTAATATCAGTGTGGTTAATTGGGACGCAAATTCTGATAGGTTTCTTATTTCAATGTCAAATATAAACTAACCTCAGCGTGCTTCTTGGAGTCTTGAAGCTTAGCTTTCAGTTGGGTTCTCTCTTTTTCCAAGCTTTCGACTTGTTTGACTAATTTGTCCACATACGCAGCCTGCTTCGCCGCCTTGATACTATGTGGGAAAAAATCAAGACGGAAAATGGAAGTTTCTACTTTTCCTTGGCCAGCGTAGTTTCCTGTTCCTGACAGTGACTTTCCAGAGTTGCATAGTTTTCTTTTAGTTCTTCCTGTTTTTGCTTCCAGAAAGGATATAGAGGGGGGATAGAAAAGGTTACCAGAGTCTGGATAAGTGTGCTATCAAGGGTTTTGTACGCCTCATCAAGCTCCTTCAAAGCTTTTGCACCGTTGTCAGCCTCCATCCTTAATTTCTCATTTTCGTTCTACAAAAGTACCATTGATGATTGTTAGTTTATTTTGTACCTTGCAGTTCTGGAGAACGGTTGAGATTTCGTTAATCTTCTGGGATTTTGCGAGTTCTTCGTTCTTCATCTCCGTGATTCTTTGTGACAGATCTTTTTCGCGGCATTTTACAGTCTCCTGAAAGAACAAATGTTATTTTATTCTGGCCAACTCGGTTTTCACGGAGCAGTTCGATGTTCGCAGGCAATTATCTTGTGGTCGTTAGCCTCAAATAAGCGTCAAGTCATGCAAACACGTTCGATGAAAAGGAAAGTAGGAAGGCTTTCATGCTACTGCATTAAGTTTTGCAAATGGTTGTCATATTATGTGCTACAAAGCACCGAGACAGTAAAATCAGTGCAAGAATCACAAACATACACTGGTCACCTAGATCTCAATTCTCCACGCTGCCCACGCCTACTTGGCTATATACGCATTCATGAAAACCTCCGGTAAAACATCACTGATCAAACCAAATCAACTCATCTCTCTCCTTACCAGTGCATACACCAGCCACGAACCTGCATCATCTACTGCAGGGACGGGATTTTCAATTCATACGTAAGTGGAAAGGGGGATCTTTGGCCCCTTTGTAGAGTGGCCTCTGTTGCAGTCTCAAGCTTCAAGCCATCCCATTCCCTCTGTGTGAGAACCTAGTGCGTTTTTTTCGGGTCCAAGTCATGTATCACACCCGCAGACAAGCTGTTTAGCTCCATGAGTCATTACATCCGACTCCGCCTTTGCTTTTCTCCAGTCTGTCTTGACAAGAGGCCCAGGTGAATGAGCAGGGAGCGGCTTCCGTTGAGGAAACGCAATTCTACTAACATTATTAACCCATCGTCCTGTGCACGCCGACTAAGGGGCGCATGGTAGACATCGTCGGAACCAACAATTGAACTTTCATTAAGCGAGAACAATTAGGGAAGTAAGTGATAAGGTTTCAAGATCAACAGTCTAACTATAAAAAGTTACTTCGACGTTAACTCTCTATTCCTCGTCAACAAGTCTGTTGGCGAAGAACTGTACGGTAAAGGGGGCCTAGGTGCACATGGAGTTTCACTGTCCCTCTTACGCCTGCTGGGCACGTGGTTTCGTGTTTTTCTGGGGCTACGGCTCATGATACCGTTAAGCTGACATGGTTATCCTTCACATCTTCTCCCACTTTATTTCTGAACCTTGCGTCCTTAAACACCTGCTTCCAGTTTTTTTGAGATTGCGATCGATATACTGACAAACTCTAATGATGACAAAGTAAACTCACGATTTCCAGTTCTGTCTTCATCAAGCACATTTTCAGGTTCACTAAAGACCAAGCCATAATGGTCAGGGAAAAAACCTTACCTTCCGACTGTTCATAAGACTTCATCAGTTCATTGCTTTCACTAACCCTATTTTTTCGTGTAGAAAACTTTGGTTAGTACTTACATTAATATGAGTGCCAAAAGGCTGTCAGCTGTTTTTGACTTCAAACTTTGCATAGCCTCTTCATAGATTGTCATTGTGTTTGAGTGCTCCACCTCCAATTTATTCACCATCTCTTCTAGATGGCCCTTTTCCAGCTCCAATTTACTAACTGTTTCCTGCAAGCAGCTGACTGCCTGTGTACGCTCTGTATTTTCCCTTTTTGAGGCCTGAAGCAATTCATACACGTGCCGTAAATCATCTGTCAGTTGCGAACACTTCCGGTGAGCCTCCTCTATTCTGATGTCCTTTTCTGAACTTTCGATCTCGGCCTTCACTAACTTCTCCTATATTGATGCATTTCTGTTTTAATGTAGGCTTTGGTTACCTCTTTTATATTAATGGCATCATGAAAAGCCTCTCTCAATTGAACGTCACGGTAAACCAACTGATCGTATTGTTCATTACATAAGCGTATTGATTCTAGAAGCAAAAGGTTTTAGTGGCAGCAAGAAAGCAGTTACGCAAAGTGTTGGCCAATATCGAGGTTTGTTCCTGTATGTCTAATTCATAGTGATTTTGCATAGACTGCATTTCTTGCAATTTTTGCGTCTACAATTGTCGAACTAGGGCTCCTTAATACCTTACCATTGCGAGTTTTTCCGAGTTGCTCTTTTCGAGCTCAATATGGTGTTTATGATCTGTTTCTTCAAGTCTTAATGCTTATATTGATCATAATACCATGGGCGGTCAGCACTTTACCTAACGTGTTGTTTTCCTCGCCTTTCTGAGTGAGGAGCAACCTCAGTTCCTGTAAATCTTCAAAAGTCGTGGTTAGCAGACTTTCAAGAG